AGGGAGGTCTGGGCCTCCCTTCTGAAGCTGCTGCCCCCGCGACCCGACCCCGGATAGGCGGAAGAAAATGGATGGATGGATGGATGGAGCTATTTGAATGTATTTTTGTCTGCATCAAACAAACATCTGAAATCAAAGTGATTTTGCTCTGATTAATCTGTTTAATTAATGGATCTGTTTGATTTCTTTTCGTTTTTTTCCCCGGCAGCTCCAGTCTAACCTCATTCCAGGCTTGAATCTCAATGCTCTGGGTTTGTTCCCCAGTGGAGCACCAGGCATGGGTCCTTCCATGTCAAACGTCCCACCTCCTGGAGCCCTCGGTGGATGTTCCTTTGGTGTAAGTGACAACCTTTGTTGCACACGATAACGTGGTTTGCCTCATAATGTACAAAATCCCAAGTTATTAAACTAGTTGGTTGCATTTTCAGGTAAGCATGGTTAAAAACTATAAAACAAAAACTGAGCAGTCTTGAGCGACGCAGTTTGATGTTTCCTTTTTCCTCTAGTGCAGTCCTTATGGGGGCGAGGGGCCACTTTGGGCTTCTATGCTGTCGGCGAGCAGCCAGCCCCTTGCCGTAAGTCACCCATCCTGAAGTGCTTTGCACGGCTTGTGGCTGCTCGCTGCGGGATAAAGGGTTAGGATTTGCTGCAAAATTCTCTCCTAGGTGACCGCTAACTAAGGTTTTGGTGGACTTAATCCATTCAGACGGACTGGGGAATGGAAACCCTAAGGAACAGTGATAACTGAAGCCTTTTTTTCTGACATGGCAACATGAATTGCTTTTTGCCAGCTTTTCTTGGTGATACTCCAATGTTCAGGCATGAGTTAATTTAGCATGCTTTAACAATATTACTAACTTGATTCAAACAAACTCATGATGGTGATGGCCATGTTGGGTTATTTGTGTTAATATGGCCATAAAATGATCACTATATGTGAGACTTTTTCCCCAAAGTTTGATTTTCATCATGGCAAATTAAAAACTACGATTAATAGTATTTTTTCCCTTAAAAAAAACCTAACATACACCAAAATAAAATCCACCCTTCCTGTTCGATGTGCCGTGTTGGCATCTTGATCGGAGTGTTTTGGTCAGGCAGTTTAACTTAACAAGACATGCTTTTGGCTCCATGGGTGTCACTTCATGTTGTGGGGAAAAAAAATCAATGGTTCGTCAAATTCAAAACCATTTCTACCAAATATGAAGTCTCAGCAGTGATTTGAAAGGTGAGTGAATGCAATACTGTTTCTAGATCTGAAAGTGCCAAGTTTTGTCTGTTTCCGATGTAGGACAACTGGACCTGCTTTTGGTGATTTGTTTTTGATTTGAGCTGCAGGAGGACAAAATAGTAGCACTGGTTGATTTCTAAAGAAATGTTCATTGCAGTATTGAGTAATCTGTATGATAAGCATGGTTTTAATGTTTAGAACTACCTTCGCTCCTGTTTTTCCTCAACTACACTTTGTCACTAATACATGTGGGGAAAATGAGCTGTCATTTAAATCAGTAATTCAAAAATGTTTTGAATGTATTTTCATTAGAGTTGTGTTACAGAATGAGCATAAAGATTTTGGAAGTATTTTAGCAGCATGTATTTTTGAGCCTGTGCCCGACAGGTTACGCTTCTCTTGATCGACWGGTAATTTTGAGCTTGTAAGTTTTAAATCTTTAAGAACAGAACAGTTTCTGCCCAATCCACTTTCTGCAATGATTGCTGGAGTCAATTCGTCTGTGGTTATTTGGGTCTCTTAGCCGCTGCAGTACCAATTTGTCTTTGCCCAGCAGGGACARCTGGAGTCGGAGACGGTCCACCTGTTCATCCCTGCACTTGCAGTGGGAGCCATCATTGGAAAACAGGGTCAACACATCAAACAGCTCTCACACTTTGCCGGAGCCTCAATCAAGGTGAATGACAGACGGGTGGTAAATCTTCACAGGTGACGCCAGCTGTCTCGTTGTGACCTGCAAGAACTTAAAGGATAAGCAAAGACTGCTGTTCATTTATGCAGTATGTGCTCTTTCAGATTGCTCCTGCGGAAGGAATGGATGCTAAGCAGAGGATGGTCATCATTGTTGGACCACCAGAGGCTCAGTTTAAGGTGCGACACCTCTACTGTCTCATTTAAAAATAAATAAATAAATAAATAAAAATAACTGATAGCCAAAATAAAAAGCCATTTTTCTTTAAACATTTATTTATTTCCAATTTAATCTCTAGAATGAAATCACTAACGTGCAAATACAAACCAAATCTGCCTGTGTCTTTTTGTCTCTAGGCTCAGTGTCGAATCTTCAGCAAGCTAAAAGAAGAGAATTTCTTTGGACCTAAGGAAGAGGTGAAGCTGGAAGCTCACATTAAAGTTCCCTCATTTGCTGCTGGCCGCGTCATCGGAAAGGGCGGGAAAACGGTAAATGGATGACTCATTCGAAAGCTCTTTATTTTTGGCCCCGTTGCTAAATTTGTCTTGACCCCGGTTGCAGGTAAACGAGCTGCAGAACTTGACCTGCGCAGAAGTGGTGGTGCCGAGGGACCAGACGCCTGACGAGAACGACCAGGTCATCGTGAAGATCAGCGGACACTTCTTTGCTTGCCAGGTGGGTTGAAGGTACACAGATGTATCAAGGTCTTCTCACAGTTGCTCCTAATTTACACTAGATGTGGTTCTGCTCCGCTGTGGTCCGACCTCGGCAGCAAATACACAGTCATTATAATCAATGAGAGTATTTACACTGGCCGAACACGGAGCTGCACCTGAGTCAATCTGCAAATATTACATCGCACCAACAGGAAAAGGAACATGCACAACATCTGAATTTTCAAAATAATTCACCAAAGACTTAATTTTGTTGAAATCCCAGCTATATAATTAAATATATGGATATATTTATACCCAAATGCTGTCAAAATGTTTCCTAATGTTTGGAAGCAGATGGTAACATGTAGCATGCAGCATATGCATACATACACGATACTCAGGGATTTTATTTTGAAATCACAAGTTTCAAAAAGACGAGCACGATGCAGTTTTAACTGTTTGAAGTCTCTTCCACAAAATAAATGTTCTTCTGACTTCCACATTTATCACTGGGTTTATCGCGTGGCTGCGCATTTCCTGTCCACGCTGCTTGGACCTCCTCTGTGCTTCGCACCGGAGCGGACGCTGTGTAAATTGGGGTGCAAATGAACGGCGGCGAACTGCGCAACGGAGCGGAATCGCATCTAGTGTAAAATTAGGGGTTAAGCAATGGTTTAAATTCCTGATGTGATTCAAATCTTTTATAAGTGAAATTCTGTGGAAACGGTTAAAGGAGCAGAATATAAATAGAATATAAAGATATTGTTGCAGCACCGAAAGAAGGTWAAGCTTTTCTGCACTCCTAGAGACTCAATTACACAAAATGTATTTAATGGCTAAAAACTTGATTCTTGCATGATTTGTCCCCTTTAAAATCTTACTTGAGTAAATGGCTCTTTTGGCAAAATTATGGTAAATTTTAACCTGATGGGTGAGCACGGTTCATTCTGAGCAGCTTTAAAAGCTGTAGTTTGACATTAACACGCTTGTCATGTGATCTAGTTGGCCCAGCGAAAGATTCAAGAAATCCTGGCTCAGGTGAGGAGACAACAGCAGCCGAAACCAGCAGCGGGACCCCAAGCTCCGACGCCCCGCAGGAAGTAAAGATCCAGCCGATTCTGGAGGAATGACGACAGACTCCTGTCACGAGACTCGACAGGTGGGACGGATGCAGCAGAGTCCGAAGGGGAAGGAAACGACAGCGGATCCTAACGCTCATCTCAGGGGTCAGGTTAATGAAACCAAACATCCACCCCTCCCTGAATTACTTGATGGACTTTAAAGCGTGGCAGAAATAAAAAGACCTTAATGCCCGTAAAGTTCCCCCCACGTCACCTCTCTGCATCTTCTGTGAAATGTACTTCTGAGGGCTGCCAACATCAACCTGCCCTCACATGCACGCACCCCTTGACCGCTCTCCTCCCTCATGGGTGCGTGGTTGGGTTGTGTTAATTTTATTTCTCTTAATTTAGTTACTTTTTACTCAAACACAAAGAAGAAAAAAAAAGGATCCCCCCTCCTATCACCCACTATGGTGTGGTATCTTAAACATAACGATGTTTTGGTTAACTTCAGATTTAATTATTTTTTATTTTTTTTCGTAATTGGTTGAAGCTTTTTGTTGGACACTTTTTGTTGTTGGGGGGAGAGGCATTGCTAGGTCCTAGTTGGACAAAAAGAGGTTTATTTTGGGGGAGGGTTGGCTCTGGCTGGGTGGGCCATGTTTAGGGGCAGATTCTTGTTTTAGGACAGGACCCCTGAGAGGGTGGATTATATCGGGCATCCTGCCCTTCTAATGATAGTGGCATTTTTAAAAATAAATTCGGATGCATTTTATAGATAGACCTATATAAATAGATCAATATATAAATATAAATATATATATTTAGAGAAGGCAGCACTACGACTGACACTTTGGGAAATTGTGCTGAACTGCTGCTGCCCAGAAAAAAAAAATCRATTTAATATGCATTTTGTTTAACTACCTCAGGATTTAGTACCTCAAAAGAAAAAAATGATTATATATGGGAAAACAAAGTTCCTTTCTTTTTATTTTGTTTTTTTTTTCTTTTGATATTTTGTATACTTTATAAAGCTGATAGTCTTTGAACATTTTTATTTTTTTAAGAAAAAATTAAAAATTTGGTCAGCTGCCAACTGACCTTGCCTTCAACTCTGGTGCTTTAAGTGGCAGTGTACATGCGTATGTGTGACTTCAGATGACCCTGTACATAAAGTATTTGTACATAGCAGCCCTGGAGCAAGAGTTGGCGCCCCCTCAGCTGGCGGCTGACAGGAGAATATAGAGAAAAATTGCCTCCKTTCTTTTCCCCCTGAGGGTCCACCATTTTTATTTATAAAAAAACATGGAACAGAACTGCTTCATGCCAATAATGTCAACCAAACATATTTACAGCAATGCCATTTAGTTWCGCCATTGAAATCATTATTGGTACTTTTTTTATTTTATTTTATTTTTTAATTTTGTCTGAAGTTTTTCCTGCGAGGGCTGCTGCAGTAATGGGTCCTCCCCGTAGCCGTCAGAGCATCTTTGTTTCCCTTTTGGTCTGTTGTGGTCACTTGCCCACCATCTTGATGCCATCTCGGCCAAACCAAACTTTYTTTTTTTTCCTGTTTTGAAGCCAGTGACCCGACCATCAAGAGTCACTCCATGGTGAGGGTAGGGGGAGTCATATTGATATGCATTTTTCTTTTTTGCGCTTTAGGAACATAATTTGACCTTTGCTGTCTCTTTATACAAAATGTATTTGATTTTCGTTGCTCCTATAGGGAAATGTTAAAAAAAACACACAATTGTGAATGAAATCCTGACTTAAGCAAAGAGATGAATCCAAAACTAGAAGAAGAAAAAAAATTGATTTCATTTGTTTTCATGCCGAATGTAAATATATTGATTGTGGTAAAAGTGCTTGAGTGTATCCATGCTTCCACAGTAGAACGCAGTCTACCTCAGCTGAGGGGGCCGGGGGGGTGGTAGTGACTCTAATCGCCTCGCCCCGCCCCCACTGAGTGCCAGCGCGCACCAATACCTCAGTCCCCTGTTCACTTCTTTCTAACCTGGGCGCGCCACCATGCTTAACTGAGGGGCACAAGTGATACTTAAAGTGATTACTCCTAATTTCCTGCATATTTCCTTCCAACCCACCCTCCTCTTCCTCTCCTCCAGTTTGTTTTTGATCTACCTCTTTAGACACGTATTTGAATTAGAGGCATTCTTCYATTTGTTAGTTTACTCCCCCACATTTATACACCCCCACAACCCCCAGATATATGAAACTTTAAAATCATGGACTCTTTAGAAATGAGAATTACTGAATGAGATAGAAATTTTTCATTTGCCAGTGTTTATCTGCATATATAAATATACTCTTTACGGCTTTTCTGAAATCCTCAATGATTTTATTTCATTTTTTTTTTCCTGCTTTTCTATTTTTGGTGGTGTGGCTTACGTGTATTTGAACTTTTTTGCCTTTTTTTTTCCTGTGAGAAAAACACAATTGTTTTTCATTTTGCTTTCAATAGTTAAGACAACTTTCTTTTCCAAGAAAAAAAAAAAGAAAAAGGGCCCGACCTTTTCTAATTTGTAAGTCTTCAAAATAAAAGTCCTGTCTTTTCATTTCCCCTTTTTCATCTCTAAGATGCTACACTCACTGATTTTGTTAGATTTCATCTGTTAGCATTTCTTGGCTGTGTAAAGTGGAACCTGCTATTTTTTTTAAAGTGTGACACAAACTTGAGGGACTGAATTTCTGTTTATGGTAAAGAGATTGTACTCCAGCATGATAATCCCTCTGAACCCCTCTGTTTCTGGAACCATGCTTGTGCCCCTTTACCCCAAACCCCCCCTTTAACACACACAGCTCCACTTGTCAAATGCCTCTGAATAAAATGGAGAAAAACAAAGTTGTTGTTTCTATAATTTCACAAGATGATACTGATATGGTACTGCTGTTTTWGATATATGTATGCCAAAAAACTTAAGGTAAATTCTGCTCAAAGGCACATTTGACTTGTTTAACTTTTCTGCAATGAACATTTGTCTTTTGATGAAATATCTACGACGCTTGTCAAACCTGAGGCCCGTGGGCCAAAAGAGTTTTTTATGTTGGAAGAACCAGATGTAAAGTCTTCTCTCATCTGCTCAGTTTTTTTATTTTAAAAGGTGAAAAAAAGGAGGAAATGCATCAAATGAAAAACACTTTTTCAATAATTCTCTAAACAGCATTTTGTCAGACTTTTGCAGTGCTTTTCTGATTGAAATAGTTTGAWTAAATCTCTGATGGACCACTCAGAAAATGACTACTTGTCCTGAGACAAACCTAAATTCCTTTTTTGGTTAGTCTTYGAGTCTTGCATCTTAAGTTCATCTGCAGTGAACAGCCAATAGGGGAAGGTTTTCGGATTACTTCAACAGTATAAAGCATTTTTTGATACACAAACATTATGGAAAACATTTTTATTATAAWCAAACGGGCATGAGTTGAGCTTAATTGAGCTTCATTCATTTTAGTATCAGTACCAACACATTAAATAACCTCTTTAGTAATTAAACATTCAATATATACTTCTTAGCTTTTAGCATGACTCATAGGTCTCAACTCTTTTGTTGTGGGGTTTTGTGGAAGAGTTATGAACAAACATCTTACCTGTTGYAGAAAGCTCTTTCAACAACTTTCAGTTTGAAAATTTTGACTGAARTGACGAGCTAACGGCTAGTCTGAGAGACCAAAGTGGGCCAATRCCATTTTAAAAAACAACTTCAGACTTGATTTCATAGTGGTTAGTGTGAATGTTATTTCAATCAGCCTGGGGTGCTTCTTGCAGGAAAATCTATTTCTGCCAGAATAACCGATACAAATAAAATATTTGCGTGAGCCACTGACATTTTTGAGATTAGAGTTGCTTTAACTGCATGTCAGCTCATCAGTCTGATCAGAATGAARAAAAAATCTAAGGTTTCAGTGAGAGAAAATCTTTCCACAAAATCTCACTTCAAAAGATCTGAACTGCTTTATAGGATTAAACTAAAACACACAAAACATTAGTATTCACGTGACTTTTTTTAATTGGAGAACAGAAATTGGATGCTGCTCTCTACAGAGGGTGTCTCTCAGTCAGCAGGTGACGGCTCTCCTCGCTGGAGGGGAACAGCGACTCCTTCAGGCGAATCATGTGACCTGCAGCCCCAGCACGGCCTCGGCCRTCTTTAACCAGTGTCCTTTGGATGGACCGGTAGACCCTGCTCCGCCTGGGAGAAGTAGTTGGGGAAAAAAAAGACATATTAGCTTTTCTTGAAAAGAAATCAGCACCTGAACACTGCGTCTTTGCTCAGTCTATGCAGGTTTGAACACATTTACAGGGTGTGTATGTGAAGACCACTCACTTGTAGGCCAGATAGGCAATGAAGGCAAAGACCGCCACTATCACGGCGCACGTCGAAAGAACCACCCCTGCAGTGTTGGGAGTTTTAGGCCCTGCTAGATGCAAACAGAACCAGAGAGATTGAACTTGAAATTCATTTACAACAACCTGTTTCCAAAAACGTGTGTGTGTGTGGGGGGGTTCTACCCACCAGGAGGTTCCTGAGACTTGCTGATGGTGATGGTGGTGCTGCCCAGAGCCATGCTGCTCGAACTCTCCAGGGTGATGTTCACACAGTAGGTGCCCGGTTCCAGAAACCTCCGCCTCAGGTGCACCTCGCACTCTGACGACGGCGGCAGGTCGTCACASGTGATGCTGTGCACCTGAGAGCAGCCGGGGTCCGACACGATGGTGCAGGCTGAGGTGGGGATGCTGAGGGGTGAGACATGGAAAGATGTTTTGTTCCAGGAGGTCATCATGAAGATAAATCTGTAGTTAGTTTTTTTTTTAAATATTTAAGGAAATAAGCTGCTGCTCACCTGCCAAGACATTTCACCCGGAAGTTGACGTCAGTGTTGCTCACTCTGACGGCTGACACRGCCACGATGCGACTTTTTGGCCAGCTGTTCAGCACGTGTTTTGGCTCTGTGGAAAACAAACCTATTTACTGCTTAAAATCATCTTCAAAGGACTACCGTGCAAGCCATGGTTTTACAAAATTCTTGCATAAGCTCAGTGATGAGGGTGGCTCTCAGCTCCCACTACGCCAAACTTTAGCTTGATGTTCATTCAAATTTCTGAGTTTTAGACATTTTTATGTTTTGGAAGGTCGATTAACTGGGGCAGCCATTGCAGATGTGCATTCAGTAGTTATCCTAAGAGCATCTACATGCTATCTATCAATTGGTTCAGACGATATTTTGCTAACACTCAGAACATATTCACATGATCAACCCCATCCATGGCAGCAAATGATAACGTGAGATTATGCACCTCAGACTAACGGAGAATTTTCATCTATTAAGATAGCTACCAACCTACCAATGATAGTGATGTTGCCCGTAAAGGACCCATAGGCGTAGCGAAAACACCCATCGCCGCTGAGCCGCCTGGCGCGGAGCCAGGGCAGGGGKCTGGTGGTGGACTCTGTGGAGTCAGTGGAGGGAAGCGGCTCAGTCGTGGGTGACTCACTCGTCGTGAAAGTGTTGGAGGAGGTAAGGGCCTGGCTGGTGCTGGCTGGTACTGAAACAAAAAGGTGGACAAATCAGATGATGCTACACAAAGATGGTGTGTGTGTGTTTCAATTTATTGTGGAAGCTTGTTGCAAAGTGTGGAATCTCACTTGGTGTGGTCTGCCTGCTAGTTGTAGAAGAGTGGGTAATGGGAGGAGGCGTGGAGGTTTCTGTGGGCACAGACACCAAAACAGTGGAAAAACAGGTGAGCAGCTGCATAAACTGATTTATACTGACCAAGAATTGTTCCAGTCAAAGTGATTTACTGTGCAGGACCTTCAGATATGTTGCACTGAAACCTCTTTTTGACACGTTATTTCAAATTTGACACAAATGTCCACTACAGAAAATATATACATAAAACAAATTTGTTACCTTTAAACTTTCATTCAAAGTTTGTTGAGAAAAAGAGTTGCTATAACTTTAAAGAAATTAAGTTTGTGGTAAAACTGCAATTTTGAACCAGTTTGAAGAAACAAATTCAAGGAATACAACTGTGGAATACTCTTGAGATTGATGTGAAAACTGCTGGAAAAAATATATATATTTAAGAGAATGATAAAGGCTAGTTTGTTGAAAGAATATTATGTATGTTGACATAAGGAAGCAACAGTGACAGGTGGCAGTCATCCCCACCGGCGTGAAACACAACACACTGGATGTGATGGTGACGGCAGTGTTGCAAATTGTGCTCTTGTGTTGCCAAGAAATTGGATTAGTTCTTCTTCTTGTGGATTTATTTGTGTATTACACATTTATTATAAAAGTAAACATTGATCGTTAGGGTGACATTGAGATAGGGTGAGATGCTCAGTCATCCGGGAGGGACTCAGAGTAGAGCCGCTGCTCCTCCACGTCGACAGGAGCCAGTTGAGGTGGCTCAGGCATCTAGTTAGGATGCCTCCTGGACGCCTCCCTGGTGAGGTGTTCCAGGCACGTCCCACTGGGAGGAGGCCCAGAGGAAGACCCAGGACACCCTGGAGGGACTATGTTTTTTGGTTGGCCTGGGAACGGCTTGGGATTCCTCCAAATTAGCTGGCCCAAGTGGCTGGGGAGAGGGGAGTCTGGGTCTCTCTGCTTAGGCTGCAGCCCCTGCAACTCGACCCCGGATAAGTGGAAGAAAACGGACGGACCGACTCTACACTCATTGGTCAGAAATGAAACACTTACTGATCAGTTGTAGTGCCATAGCTCATTAATCTGGTCCAAATTAAACGGTTTCTACAAACTGAGGTAATTCAAACAGCAGTCTACAACTGCGGTTACAACTTCACAGTTCATAACCTTCCTGCAGTACCTAACTTCAAATTATCTGAACAATTTCTCAAAGCAATAATTGAGAGGTTTTAAAATATTGACGTTCACCTATGCTGAAACCAAAGCCCATCTCTTCAGAGAGATCTTCTCAAAATACTTCACATCTTTGGCTCAGTACCTTTGTGAGGTGGCGACGTGTGCAGTCTCGCAGTTGGGGTGGCGGAGGTGGGCATGCACTCAGCAGGGAATGCTGCCTCCACCACCAGGCTCACGCTCATGTTGCCCAGTGTGTCGTACTTGTGCGTGATCACGTCACGGTGCGTCACCAGCTGGTTGCCGTCGCTGAAGTCCCAGATGAAGTCGACCGAAGCTGCCGTCTTTAGGTAGCCGCTGGGGTCATGGAGCTTGACCTTGAAGACGATGTCCTCGCCACGGACGAAAACCGACGTGTTCACCGCTGACTTCTGAGAGATGTCGACCGCCAGGGGGATCTTATCTGAGGGAAAAGATGAACTGTTTAATCTCTGGTTTGTGTTTTGTCGGAAAGAAAATTTAGTTTTTGTCCTCACCTGTGACCATGTAGACGGTACTGTCAGTGGAGAGAGGGATGTACTTCCTGCGCTCACGCTTCCTGTAGACCATGACCTCCACAACTTCTGCTCCAAGGGGGATGTTGGTTGTGTTGATGGTCACACTAGCGGARGAGTCACCACATTTCTCATAGTACTGACCTAAAACAAACAGAGTTTTTGAAACCATCCACTCCCAGCAGAATCAAATTTGGACAAAAACAACTCATTTCTCAACACCATATGGGTTTCAGTCTGGCAATATGCATTCTTTCAAAGAATGCGAGGAGTTTGTCAGTTTGAATACACTCACCCATTGTGTGCCAAACGTAGACATAGTTCTTGCGTCTCCAGTCATTGCTCTGAGGGAAGGGCTTCCCGTCAGGGTACACGTTACACTTTTTCACATCTGGACACTTTCCAAAGCCATAGTCGTCCAACCAGGAGGTCCAGTTGTACACGTAACCAGATCGAACCTGTCCGTTGGCTGTCCAAAAAAAAAAAGGTTGAGTCACCTAAAATTGACAGCATTGCGGTATTGGATCTTAATAGGGTTTATCTTTATTTCTTTGTGTCAGTGTTTTGAGTTTATAGAAAGCTGAACAGAAGGAAAACATCAACCTGAACAGTTTAATGTACCATGTGCTCCATGATGACTGGAGTTCAACAGATGGGTTTTGTCTTTCTTTGGAAGACACATGGCTCTTTCTAAAAACTTCAGACACTAAGACTAAGATATATTTTAGTTATCCATAGCAGTGAAACTGAACTGGAAAAAGTGCATTCARTAATCACACTGAGATAAGTATTTGTATTTGTGCGCTTGTGTAAAATATAAAACCATCTTTCAAGACATTTTCTGTATGGATTTAAGTAAACTCTGTGCATTTATACATATTACACATCACATGGGTCTACTGTGGAGGTGTAATRTCATGTGTGTCATGACCTCCAACATATTTAGTCATTTTTATCCGACAGGTCCTTTTCTGTTTCCATGAAGGAATGTTCTGCTTCCTCAGCACCTATTTGCTGTGGTGTTCCTCAAGGGTCTACTTTGGGATCTATTCAGTTTGCTTATACATGCTTCCATTGACGACATTCAAATGTATTTTCCTTTTAAATCAGATGTCTCTGCCCACTAGCCTCTTTTGAATAGTCTCTAAGACTGGTTGTACCAGAACTTTCTGACCAATGAATCATTCTCCTCTCGATGGATCTCCTGACATCCTTGAACTACTTGCTCTGTATTGTTCTTCTGTCGTCAAGAATCTTTGAGTGTATTTAGATAGTGCTTTAAAAATTTTGAAAAACAATTATCTTCAGTTGTTAAAAAGTTTTTATCAGTTACGTCTGATTGCCAAAGTAAAATCTTCCATTTCCTCACAAGACCTTGAAGCTTAAAGGACTTGATTATATTGTTGTATTTACTGCATAACTTTAACATTTTTATTATGTTTTTGTTTAGACAGTTTACTGTGAATGTATGGGGCTTGGGGGTGGGGGGTCATGCAAAATTGACTTTTTTGAGCTCTATATCATGTTGTAATGCCATTTGCTTTGACTCATTCATGTGCGTTTGAGAAATCCTTGAATCTCCTGTAGCCATGTGGAGCTGTCTAAACGCTTGTTGGTACAAAGCACTGCCTATTTGCACAAAGCTCCTCCCTGGAGCTCAGTCTGCAGTTAAGCTCCTGCCGCACAGAGCATCCCTCCCCCGAAGCGTTGTTGTGAAGACGTTCTGAAGTGAGTGTTGGAAACGGTAGGAGGTTCTCAAAGTGTTTCAATGTGTTTAGATAGAGTTTGATGCAAAGTTAAATTTATTTTTGATTTTCAAAAGTTACTTGATTGTTGAATAGCATTGAACTATGTGCTTGGAAAATACACAACACCTCCTCTTTAAAGCCACATATAAAATGTTAGGATAATACAACTGTCTGAGTGATACATCAGCACCTGAGGCCTCCAGCTCAGTAGCATCCTCACAGCGCTCGTCCCAAACCAGTTCCCCGTTAGCATCTTCCCTCTGACACGGAGGATACTCCAACTTGGCGGTGAAGGTTATATTTGAGCCATTAAGAGCTGGGCTGTCACTGGTCAGATGGACTTTGGGTTTACCTGCAGAGAAGAGGACGTTAAAGTTAACGACTCACCTCCTAATACTTCAGAAAGAACTGAAAGCCCCTCATTTCTAACCTCTGTGACGCATGGGCTCGCTGAGCTTTGAGTTTAGAGGTGGGTAGAGGTAATCATCCCATGGGTTGGTGTCAGGCTGCCAGCCGGGGATGGGTGGAGCTGGAAATGGAAACGTCTGCGCTGCTGAGTGCTTGTGAGGGAATATGTCACCATATGCTGGAGAGAGAGAAGCCAACATGAGTCTGACATGAAAAAAATGCATTTATTCAACTAAAAAAAAGTCTTAATGTTGTAGAATTATGTTTGGGAACAAAGAATGCATCTTATTCACAAAAATAAGAGACAGTCACTAAAATCTCAGCACATTTGAAACAGCAAAGTAGATTCAAACTTGGTATCAACAACAACAAAACAATTTCTCAAACGCAAAAATAAAATAAAATAAAAACCTTGAAACTTTCATTATTCTGCAAATGTTTGGGCTTTTTTCAAACACAAATATCCGTTTCTGCCTGACGTCTCACTGAAAGGGTCCAAACTGAATGGAAAACAAGAAATTCCAGCGACACAATTAAATTAGAGGGGGAAAAAAACAACACAACTATGAGCAGAGAACTAAAAATCATCTCATGATATGGCAGCCATTTTTAATCGTTTCATTAATTATAATTCAACAATGCTTTTATTTAATCAAAGAGACGCTTTTCTATTCAGTTTGTTCCTTATCAAACTCTTTCTTGAACATTAACCAAATGTAATAAATAAAAAAAAGATAAATATGTTGTTTTTTTGTGAAGATTAGAGAATTGGACTGATGAGCTGCAGTCTTAATTAGACTCATGGGACTCTGAGTGCAGCAGCAGGACAGGAGGTTTTACAGAAACTTTTTGATAATGAAACATTTGGAGTCTTAGCTGATTATCAATCTAAACATTTTTCATAAAAAAAAACAACACAAAAAGTTTCCTGATTAGCAGGAAAGACTTACTTCTTCGTCCATCAGCTTGGTGAAGCAAACAGGCGCAGGCCAGGAGGGAAACACACAGGATTTCCATTTGGGCAACAGACACTTTTTTTTAAATTGAACTTTTACGCATCCAGACACTCCCTCTCCTCCTCAGCTCCTTTCCTCTTCTCCTCTGGCTCTGAGGGGCGCGCGCTCCTTTAAGTGAATCTGCTGGAAGCACGTGATGTTTTCCCAAACGAGACGCACCTCCTCACCCATTAAACTCCTGGAAACGCACGAGAGATCACTCATTTCCTCTTTGAAAGCATTTTTTAAAAGGAAAATATAATTATTAGTCATTATTTTATTCGAACTGAATTATAAGATTATTTTTATTAGTATGAGATTTTATTTTTGTAAGGAAAATTATTTCAAAATATTTCTATAAGCCTAAGCAAAAAAATTTAAAGATGTTTTTGTTCACTTGTAAGGTTTTTATGCTGTGGTTTCTTCTCATCTTATTTTTGTGGCTAAAAATACATTTGTCCTTGTAATAAGAATTTAAGTAGAATAAAAATATGTTTAATAATTTAAGGAATGCGCATGTTTTGGCCTGGTCTTTATAAAAATAACTGTCGACTCTTAATTTATAATTTTATTATTTGATTTTTAAAAAATAAAGGTCCATGTGTGACAGCCGATCGTATGACTCAGCTATTTATTTATTTTTTATGTGGCATGTCCTGTCTGTGTGCCAGCTCCAAGTCCGCGTGCGTCCAGGTTGCGCCACGCGCGCGCCCCGAAAAAGCAGAAGGAAGCCGGATGATGGAGCACAGAGCCTCAGCATGTGATCCTGATCTGATCTGATCACAAGAGCGTTGGGAAACCGTCACAAAGGGCCACAGGATCCAGCTCAAAGACCCGATCAGAAGTCCAAATAAACGATAAAAACAAAAATAATTTACACAGTTTAAATAAAAATAAATAATAATAAAAATCATTCGATTAAATGCAATGTTAGAGTC